AAAAACCGTTGGAGAGTTTTGAGTCATTCTTCACATTTAAAATATTTTATTCCGGAAAAAACAGAATAAGCAATTGATCTGAAATTTTCACAAAAGTTATTGGTCTAGACCTTCATCAAATGAAATATTAATCTCGAAAAATTATTTCCAGTCCCGCATGTTCAGTCCCTTAAATAAATTTGGACCTGAGACCCCCTGAAATGATGTGCAGAATTTTTGTTATGTTGCCTGCTATAGAATAACGTGGTGACTCCATCATCTATCTGTTTGACACTGTCTGTCAAAAAAACTTGTATGGACTTATCTCTTCAAAAAACTAATGGTGCAGTTTTATCCAAACTTTACAGGAATTATTATTACCAAGCCTCGTGGCATTTTCGGATTCAGTGATTTATGTCAGAGTTATGGCCCTTTAATTTTTATATAGCGATTCACCTGTGTGTTTTTTTGTGTGTGTGTGTGTGTGTTATATAGATTATATAGTGAACTTAAAAAATCTTCTTGTGAAAAACCACTTGTCCAATTTCAACCAAACTTGGCAGGATTGATCCTTGGGTGAAGGGCTTCCAAAGTTGTTCAAAGAATTTCATTCCATGCAGAAATCTGGTTGCCATGGCAACCAAAAGGAATTATAAGAATAAATTTAAAAAATCTTCTTGTAAAGACCCAAAAGGCCTAGAGCTTAGATATTTTGCATAAGGCATTGTCTGGTAGACCTCTACCAAGATTGTTCAAATTATAACCCTGGGGTCAAAATCGGCCCCGCCCCGGGGTCATTGATTTTTCACTATATGTACATATAGTAAAAACTTAAAATAACTTCTTGTAAAGACCCAAAAGGCATAGAGCTTAGATATTTTGCATAAGGCATTGTCTGGTAGACCTCTACCAAGATTATTCAAATAATAACCCTGGGGTCAAAATCGGCCCCGCCCCGGGGTAATTGATTTTCACTATATGTACATATAGTAAAAACTTAAAATAACTTCTTGTAAAGACCCAAAAGGCCTAGAGCTTAGATATTTTGCATAAGGCATTGTCTGATAGACCCTTACCAAGATTGTTCAAATTATAGCCCTGGGGTCAAAATCAGCTCCGCCCCGGGGTCATTGATTTTTCACTATATGTACATATAGTAAAAACTTAAAATACCTTCTTGTAAAGACCCAAAAGGCCTAGAGCTTAGATATTTTGCATAAGGCATTGTCTGGTAGACCTCTACTCAGATTGTTCAAATTATAGCCCTGGGGTCAAAATCGGCCCTGCCCCTGGGTCATTGGTTTTCCTTATATATGTATATAGAAAAAACTTTATAGTAAAAAAATTTCTTCTAGCAAATGCTAGAGGTTAGATATTTTGCATGAAACATTGTGAAGTGAACTTCTAGCAAGATTGTTCAAATTATAGCCCTGGGGTCAAAATTGCCCCTGCCCCGGGGTTATTGATTTTCAATATATACATATAGTAAAAAATAAAAAAATCTTATTGTCTGAAGGTACAAGGGCTTAGAGCTTGAATATTTGTTAAATGATATCATCTATAGGTACTCTACCAAAGTTGTTCAAATTTTGCCTCTTGTGTCAAAATTAGCCCCGCCCCATGGGCCATAGGTTTTCCTTATATGTATATAGTAAAAACTTAAAAAAATCACCTTCTCTAAATTTACAAAGGCTAGAGTTAAGATATTTTGCATGAAACATTATGTAGTGAACCTCTAGCAAGATTGTACACATTATAGCCCTGGGGTCAAAATTGGCCCCACCCCAGGAGTCATTGATTTTTACTATAGTACATATAGTAAAAAAAAAAAAAGAAATATTTTTGTCTGAAGGTACAAGGCATAGAGCTTTGATGTTTGCTCTATAATATATTCTATGGGTTCTCTACTAAAGTTGTTTTAATTATGCCCCTAGTGTTAAAATTGGCCCTGCCCAGGGGCAGTGATTCTCATTATGTTCACATAGTAAAAACAGAAAATAAAACAAATCTTTTCTGAATAGGAGAAAGCTACAGCTTAGATATTTGACTTGAAATGTTGTTTGGTGGACCTGTATCAAGATTGTTTTGAATTAAACCCTTGGGTCCAAAATTTTGCCCTACTTTCTTGTCCTTTAATGTACAGCAATGAAATTTTGACCATGTGCACAGTTTTAGTTGTAAAATTGTACTTTGATATCAGGTGAACTAGATTTTGATGATGTGACCTACTTTCTTGTCCTTTGATGTACAGCTATGAAATTTGAACCATGTGTACAGATTAAGATGTTAAGTGAACTTTGATTTCAGCTGACCTAGATTTTGACAAAGTGTCTTACTATGTTGTCCTTTGATGTAGTCATGAAATTTAGGCTGTGTGAAATATGACCTTCACCACCAAATTCACTAGACTCAAGTGCATTGATATATTCCTACTCTGATCTTTTATTGAGTTAACAACAGATTTAACCACTAATCTGATAATAAGAATTAGATAGGTCAGGGATCTATGCATTATGACAGTCTTCAAAATTGTATAGAAACAAAGAAAATCTGTTCCTACACTACTATTTAGTGTTGTATTAATGCGGTGGCATAGCATTTTTCTCAAATGCAATCTTGTTTTTATTTTTTTATTGTTTTGTCCGGACTAATTACTTCTGTTATACTACATATGCAATTTGACTGAAACTTTATAGGATTGATGTGTACCTCAAGTAGTTGGGCATATTTAACAGGTTTTCTGGTTCAATAATTTGATCCTTCTTGTTTATTTCAGAGACACAATGGTAAAGGCATCTATATTCATTATTTGCTTGTGTACAGTAGGAATGACTGTTTGCGTTACTTTAGAGAATCTTTTTACCAAACCATATCACAACTATGGGGTAATGACGAAGATATTGAAAGGTATAAACGACACACTACCACACCTAGTAAAGTTATACAGTATAGGAAAATCTGTTCGAGGTGAGGGCAATAAATTATTATGGACATATGAGCCGCGTCAGGACAAAACCAACATAGTGCATTTGCGACCAGCATGGATCAAGACCAGCCTGCGCATCCATGCAGTCTGATCAGGATCCATGCTGTTTGCTATCAGTTTCTCCACTTGTTATAGAGTTGGTAAGCGAACAGCATGGATCCTGATCAGACTGCGCGGAAGCGCAGGCTGGTCTGGATCCATGCTGGTCGCAAACCCACTATGTTGGTTTTGTCGTGATGCGGCTCATATGAGGTTTTTGTTTGTCTTTATATCATGATAAAATCACATAATGTTTTAGGAAATGTTTTTTTTTAAGGTTAAGCAGGAGATATAGCCACTTCCGGTGTAAGAAGTAGCTTCCAATGTTGCCAAGTAGATAGGGTCATTGACTTTAAACCAGTTGCCCCACACTGTGGTGTGTTTGAATCCTGCCAGGGACTCTTGATTTTCTTTCATGTGAAGAAGCTTACCAGAGTTGAGCTGAGGAATTGTTAGTGATTCTACTTTTCCATCTACAGGTTCTCCTTCACCAGTAAAGCTAGAAATTTAAATGACTGTATGACTATTATAAGGTTAATGACTTAACAGGATTTTTTCTCCAGGATTTTGGAATCAAAAATTGACCATATAACCCATGGAATTGTGCAATGTTTTGTAAAAAATGAGAAAAAATGCATAACTGTATATGATGGAATCTTCAAACATTTAAGCACTATAACAGTGAAGTAGCCCTTATTTTCAAAGAATTTTGAATTTTTTATTCAATATTTTTTATTTTGTAATTTTCAGAGACATAAATAACAACTCTGTAATTTTCAATTGTGGATTGGTAAAATAATATATTAATTTCAATTGCGAATATATTACGTATATAGGCTATAAGATAATCTCAAAAATATCCCTGCTTTATATAAAGCCAACAAGTCAATCAATTAATTGTATTCTCATATATATAATACCTAATATTCATTATTTCATCATTATAAATATTTAATTGCAATTCAAAATTTCACAATAGTACATGGTTGTGTACTATTGAGTGGTACTATTGACTGAGTGGTTCAGGTCTTTGACTTCATGACTTCAAGCCCCTCACTGTTGTTGTTTCCATTCCCGTCAGGGATTTAGGATAATTTCATGTAGGGAAGCTTTTGTATACAGCTAGCCTGTTAGTGCCCGAGATAATGCACTGACTATACAATAATAATTGGTCTAACTATAATTCAGGACGAGAACTGTGGGTGCTTGCCATTGGATACAACATGAGTGGTAATATGGAGTTACGTCCCAGTGTGAAATATATCGGCAATATGCATGGAAATGAGGTAAATTATAACCATCTCTCTGTCCATGACTAGAGTATATAGAGCTGCCATTGTTTAAGTGCAAAGAATATTGAGGATACATCGGTATCGGATGCAAAATATTGGCGATACACCGATATATTGATAATTACTCCTTATTTCTTGTATATTATAAGTTCACTTTCGTACCTGTTTAATGATTTAAGTAAAATACATGTTCTGTTCATACAAATATGCGGTGTCCTGTTTATAAAATGTCCTTTGCATGATGTTTTTCCTGACCATTTTTTGTCACATCACTGCTATGAAATGTGTTCATTATGTAACAACAGATTAGTGTTAGACATGGCCACCTGCTTTTGCATATGTTTTTGGGTGAATTTTCATAATTTATAGACAGTTAAATAATAAATCAAAGTTATTGCTTTTTATACCCCCAAAAACGAAGTTTGGGGGGGTATATAGGAGTCACCCGGTGGTCGGTCGGTCCAGACGTCCGTTGCATTTTCCTTGTCCTGAGCATAACTTGAAGACTAATGATTGGAATTCAATATAACTACACACAATGGCCAAGCACATTGAGAGGAAGTGCAGTGCACAAGAACCATAACTCTATCTTGACTAATTACAGAGTTATTGTCCTTTGTTACTTTTCCTTGTCCGGGGCATAACTTGAAAACTACTGGTTGGAATTCAAAACAACTTCATACAATTGTCAAACACAATAAGGGGAAGTGCAGTGCACGAGAACCATAACTCTATCTTAAGTAATTACAGAGTTATTGCCCTTTGTTACTTTTCCATTCCTTTCTTTTGTCCGGAGCATAACTTGAAGACTAATGATTGGAATTCAATATAACTACACACAATGGTCAAGCACATTGCGAGGAAGTGCAGTGCACAAGAACCATAACTCTATCTTGACTAATTACAGAGTTATTGCCCTTTGTTACTTTTCCTTGTCCGGGGCATAACTTGAAAACTACTGGTTGGAATTCAAAACAACTTCATACAATTGTCAAACACAATAAGGGGAAGTGCAGTGCACAAGAACCATAACTCTATCTAAAGTAATTACAGAGTTATTGCCCTTTGTTACTTTTCCATTCCTTTCTTTTGTCCGGACCATAACTTGAAGACTAATGGTTGGAATTCAATATTAGTACACACAATGGTCAAGCACATTGAGAGGGAGTGCAGTGCACAAGAACCATAACTCTATCTTGACTAATTACAGAGTTATTGCCCTTTGTTTCTTTTCCTTGTCCGGGGCATAACTTGAAAACTACTGGTTGGAATTCAAAACAACTTCATACAATTGTCAAACACAATAAGGGGAAGTGCAGTGCACAAGAACCATAACTCTATCTAAAGTAATTACAGAGTTATTGCCCTTTGTTACTTTTCCATTCCTTTCTTTTGTCCGGACCATAACTTGAAGACTAATGGTTGGAATTCATTATAACTTAATACAATGGTCAAGCACATTGAGAGGAAGTGCAGTGCACAAGAACCATAACTCCATCTTGACTTATTACAGAGTTACTGCCCTTTGTTACTTTTCCTTGTCCAGAGCATAATTTGAAAACTACTGTTTGAAATTCAATGCAACTTCATACAGTTGTCAAGGACATTAAAAGGAAGTGCAGTGCACAAGAGCCATAATTCCATTTTGACAAAATACAGAGTTACTGCCCTTTGATACTTTTCCTTGTCCGGAGCATAACTTAAAAAGTACTAGTTGGAATTCAAAACAACTTCATACAATGGTCAAGCACAATAAGAGGAAGTGCAGTGCACAAGAACCATAACTCCATCTTCAGTATTTATAGAGTTATTGCCCTTTGTTTCTTTTCCTTGTCTTTCTGGACTATTACAGAGTAATTCAGTAAAACTTCATCAATGGCCAACCCCATTGAAAGGAAATGCAACATACAAGAACCACAACTATCTTCAATTGCCCACAACCATAACTCTATATTTCAATTCTTTTACAAGGTATTCTGTTACTAGTAACATCCTCATTTCTGAAGCAGTTTTGTGGGGGTATTAATCACATTTAGTGATAGTTCTAGTTGATTTTGTTGTACCTTATTCCTACTTACAAGTTATGAAAGCTAGTCCAAAAAACGATCTGTACCACTATGGTGACAAAACAGCATGCTTGAGTGGGTTCACAATTTAAAATGTTTCTTAAAAAAAGATGGTTTCCTAGCTACTGACAAATTTGATTATAGTGAAGGGTTTCAGATGCTTTGATGACGTCATTAATGATGTCAAAATTAGCATGTGAATACACATTGCAGAAGATCCTAAACCATCATATTTACCTTAAAATTCACAAATGAGCTAAATTGAGATTAATATGATGGGATTTTGGTCATAAATGACGTTTTCAAATTAGTGGAATATTGACAAGATGGTAAATGTTATGTTTTTTAACGAATTGTATGAAAAAACAACATGGACCTCTAAAATTCAAAATGTCCTAAACAAGACACTGTATGTTAAAAACTATAATCTACTATGATATTTAAAAGTGTGTAGTTGGGAAATACAGTTTTCAATATAAAGGAAAGTGAATGTTTTACAGCTTTATTCCTTTTACAGGTTTTGAAGAAAGCCAATGTTTTCCAACTTTATTCCTTTCATTGGTTGTGAAGAAAGCCAATGTTTTCCAACTTTATTCCTTTTATAGGTTATGAAGAAAGCCAATGTTTTCCAACTTTATTCCTTTCATTGGTTGTGAAGAAAGTGAGTGTTTTCCAACTATATTCCTTTTACAGGGTTGTGAAGAAAGTGAATGTTTTCCAACTTTGTTCCTTTTACAGGGTTGTGAAGAAAGTGAATGTTTTCCAACTTTATTTCTTTTACAGGGTTGTGAAGAAAGTGAATGTTTTCCAACTTTGTTCCTTTTACCAGTTTACAGGGTTGTGAAGAAAGTGAATGTTGTACAACTTTATTCCTTTTGCAGGTTGTGAATAGAGAAATGCTCCTTATGCTTTCGACACATTTAATAGACCAATACCAAAGTAACAGTACTATACAGAAATTCCTCAATACAACAGTGGTACACATTATGCCATCCATGAACCCAGACGGATATGCAAAAGCCTTAAAAGGAGATTGCCATGGTGTTATTGGAAGGTTTGTTAGAAATATTTCAATAGTCATAGGGACTGTTCTAATATAGATACAAGGGGGAATGCCATAATAAGGCAGAAGCGATTTTGGGAAAAATTATCTCCGAATTTCCAACTTGGGAAGTACAAAAACTTGTGTTATTTCAGAATTTTGGGAAAACTGCATGATTTCAAAGAGAAATTTAATTGGGAACAGGCCATTTATAGGCTTCAGTTATTTAAGGTGAAAATTCACTGTAATGGGGGTTTGATATGGGACTTTTTGTTGTTGTTGGGTCATAGTAGAGGTCATAATATAATGGCGACTTTACAAATCATATTAGTAGCCAATAAAATATGTTCTATGACAAGAAAGATAGTAACATTTTACTTAGGAATCCAAAAAAGAAATAAAGAAGAAAATTTTGTTTTGGTCAGCTGTTTGATTCATATAGAATTATTTCAGGTATAATGCTGCTGGAATCGACTTGAATAGAAATTTTCCTGACCTATGGTTTAACAAGAGTGAGAAGCCAATTGCTAAGGAAACCCGTGCTGTGATGGATTGGTTACCTCAACACAATTTTGTCCTGTCAGCTAACCTGCATGGAGGCGCAATGGTTGCTAATTATCCATTTGATACCTATAAAACTGGTTAGTGTAAATATTTATCATTGTTAAAACAAAAATCATCATTGTTGTGAATCAGACTTTTACTTTGCTTTATTTATCAATACATTTTTATACACCAAAAAGGAACTTAACTAGTGTAATCATATGTTATTTGTCCATCCATCTGTCCGTCTGTCTGACTGTCTGTCTGTTAGCCACATTTGTGCAAGCTCAATGCCCTAATAGCTGCCTTCACTCTAAGTAAGGAGGATAGTAATTGCCAGTAGACGAATGCTATAAATTTTCAGGTCATTCAAAGTTCAATGGTCAAGGTTTGAGTTACACTTTCTGTATAATCCTTATCTACTTATGAACTTGAGAAGAATAGGCCTAGGTTTGTGTAAAACGTGATGAGAACATTGCCAATGACCAGTAGTTGACCCCTGGCAATTTGTATGTTGTTAAGATAAAGGTCAAATTGTCTGCTCAATTATCTAAGAATGAATGAGTTTGTAAAGTTTTGGAGGAACACATCCCATGGCCAGTAGCTGAGGCCTGTCAATATCTAGTTCATAAGGTCAAGGTCACATTGACATATAATGTAAAATCCTTTTCAGCTCAATAGAGAGAATAAGCCCATGTTTGTGCATCTTGATATTGTCATTGCCTATAGCAAGTTGATGAATGGCACCTATTGATTTTGTGTTAATTAGGTCAAAGGTCACAGTGACACAAACTCCCAGTCTGGTCAATAACTTGAGATAGAATGACTTGTGTTTGTGAAACTTGTGAATACCTCTTAAGCATTTTTTTTGTAAACTTCAATGCCCAGAGCTTAGATATTTTATTTGTAGCCATGCTTTGTCAAGTTGTGAACCTCTGAAAATTATATTAATTATGCCCCATGAATCATTATTTGCCCTGCTCTGGAAGTCACTTTATTTATGAAGACTTTTAAAAACTATAAAGTCAAGAGCTTCGATATTGGATGTAACATCAATTTGTAGTCTTCTACAAAAGTCATACAAGACCCAGAGGTCAAAATTGGACTTACCCAGGGCATCACTTCCTTCAGGTAAACAAGTAGGTAGAAAAATACATCTCTATGTAGAACCTTTTTTAAGAGATTATATATTTTGCATTTTGTATTGCCTAGTAGACCTCTACAAAAGTTTTATAAATCATGCATTAAGGTTAAAATGTTAAAACCATGGTTTAATAAATAATTTAATATTTTAAGGATAAACATTTTTCCACACAAGTTTCAAAAATGGGCCTCTTCTTTAATTGAAAGTTTGTTTTTGATTCCTAAACAAATTTTCATTAAGGCCAATATATTGTTAAACCTGTAAATATATCCTGCACTGAGTAAAATAAAGCATGCTGTTCACAGATAGGTTAAGTTTCAATCAACTGCATTATTTCTATGCTAACAATCCTGTACCTTGTCATCAAAGATAATATATGCATTGTTATATTTTATTTAAATCAGTCATTGAGTTTGTGTTTACTTTGACATAACACATGTTTTCTTTTGTTTGACAGTTAAAAACCTTTTTTGAAATAACTGTTGTTTTCTTTTGTTTGATAGTTAAAAGACCTTTTTTGAGATAACACTTGTTTTCTTCTGTTTGATAGTTAAAGACTTGTTTTGAGATAACACTTCTTTTCTTTTGTTTGACAGTTAAAAAAACTGTTTTGAGATAACACTTGTTTTCTTTTGTTTGACAGTTAAAATACCCTTTTGATATAACACTTGTTTTCTTTTGCTTGATTGTTAAAACTTTTTTTTCAGATCACACTTGTTTTGTTTTTTATAATTACAGAATATAGACACTCTGGTTCGTCAGTGAGTCCAGATGATGATACATTTAGGTTCTTGGCCTTGACTTATTCAAGGTCACATGCCAACATGGCAATAAACCAAGGGAGAGAATGTCTTGGTGATTATTTTCCAGATGGCATATCAAACGGAGCTGCGTGGTATGATATGCATGGTATGTGGATAAATGATATTTCTTTTGTTTATCTATAACATATGGAAGACTCCAGGTTATCCAGTTCCTCTATTGTGCATGTAATCAATGCCATAGCTGCATTTGAAATATTTAATTTTCTGGTAAAATTAAAGCAAACTTGAACTTTTCACACTGCAATGTTAACAGCCGATAATGCCTAAAAAAAGAAAATTTTAACTCCTGATACAGTTTCGAAAAGGCGACTCATTGGCCTTATAGCGCTGATATCTTGTTTTCTTGTGCATTAAGGTAGTTGATACAGTTAAAAAGATTAAGTGTTTTGAATGAAAGTCAAAATATCAGTTCCTATAATTTCACTACCTTTATCATAAATTATGTCTCGCATTCAGTGTTAGTTTCTTCAAGCAATAAGCATTGTACATGTTCTTAATCATTTATTAAAGCATTACATGACATATGCTTACCGTTTCCACAGAGTGAAAACTCTTTTGAATTCTGAGGCTTAATGTACCTATAAGATTACATAAGTGTATACAGAGAGGATATTAAATGAGTGTAGTTTAATACTAAATTTATTGAACGAGTTGAATATAATCATATTATGCGAGCCTCTGGCGAGCATAATATTGTTTTATTCAATGAGTTTAATAAATTTAGCATTGAATCTACACGAATATAATATTCTATTTATCACATATATAAAATAAGAACAGTAACCTGTAAAAATGAGTAATTTTTCAATGACGCGCCTATAATGTAACGCTAACATTAGCGCGCTTCAACGCTATGTTTCTATATAGCGCAAATGACGTCACGTCAAAGTGTTATTACACTAGTGTAATATTGTTTTTATTAAATGGCTTTATTACACTCCCACGCCGCGTTTTATGTGATAAATGTATATGTTTTAATATAATTTTTATTAATATCAAAATATTAATACAAAGAGGATATTCAAGTTTCTTCTATAAATACAGGATTTATTTTGATCGAGTGGTATGAAAATAGATATTTCACGAGTGGTTATGTAGTCACCAAGTGAAATATGATAATTTTCATACCAAAAGATAAAAATAAATTCTGTATTAATAGAAAAAACTTGGATTTTCTGTTTATCATATACTTTTTTCTCTTTTTTAACCTTATGAATAGGATGAATTCCCATTTAATTTTGTGTATTGGCTGAATTTAGAAGAAAGAAGTCGGGCAAGACATCAGTGAAAATATGGAAAATATGTTTCATTTATAAGTATATAATGCATGATATATTTTTTGTTGCAGGTGGCATGCAAGACTACAATTACTTGAAACATGGTATTTTCGAACTCACTTTAGAAATTTCTTGTTGTAAATATCCAAATGCTTCCGAAATTGAATACTACTGGATAGAAAATCGATGGGCTTTAATAAATCTGCTTATGGAAGTACATAGAGGTATGATTTTGTTATGCTCTTGCGGGGGTCATTTTGTTATTTGATGATTTGTCCATCCGTCCGTACATTCTGTTTTTGTCACTTGCTCATTATATTGAGAAGGAAAAAGTGATGATTTATGTTAAAAAGTAGGGACATTGCCTTCAGTCAGCATTTGACTTTTATTGATCTTGAGGTAATTAGGTCAGAGGTCAAGGTCACTGTAATACTTTGTATAAATGACTTGAAAAGGCATAAGCTTAAGTTTGTTATTTACAATGTAATTAAAAAACTAGACTTAGATAAAATTTGCATTACACTGTTAAATTATTTATTTTCGCTGCCGTGAAATTTCGCACAAATGACATAAAAAGAAATTTTGCGTGGTCTTAAATTTGGACATTTCCAATTTAAAGAAAAAAAAATACCACTTACCAATTTAATTTGAATTCATGTATCAAAGGAGCCAAAAAAATTAATATTATTATCCCCACATTGACACCTTTATTGTGTGTATGGGCCAATGATAGAGGTTGACTTCCAATAAATAATCTGACAGGTTAATCTGTTAATTGGCGTTAAGCGGCAAAATATTTAAAGAATTATGGAGGAACATGTATTGTATTTTCTGAATAGAACTTAAATCTATATAAGCAGGCATGGTATGTTTAAAACTGACCTGGGTAATAGTGTTAATTTATTTCACACTTGCCTGTCGCGACATTTCACAATAAAATTTAACTACTTGCCCCTCACTGCTTCAAGGTGTAAAAGGCATTGTTTATGATGAAGATGGAAATCCAGTTGAAGGTGTAGAGCTTGCTATTAAAGGGAGGGAATCTGTACCGTTCCGGTCGAGGAACCGTGGTGAATACTACAGGATACTAATGCCTGGCACATACACTATACTGGTAAATATCTGTCGGTTTTTAGTAATTGGTAATTCTTTTAATTAAATGAGCCGTGTTATGACATGTATGACAAAATCAACATAATGGGTTTGCAACCAGCATGGATCCAAACCAGCCTGCACATCCACGTAGTCTAATCAGGATCCATGCTGTTTGCTTACAAACCTTATTACAAGTAGAGAAACTGATAGCGAACAGCAGGGACCAATGCTGGTCTTAAACGCATTAAGTTGGTTTTGTCATGGCGCGGCTCATTAATTATAAACTTGAAATGTATGAAATTTGGTAATATGTGTCATAGGAAGAATGTCCAATGTGGGAAAGTTGAGTCATAAAATTCTTAATTGGGAAAAAGTATTTGATACTTTTTTTAACCTTCTTTCAGGCTCTTCTGGCATAATATTTTGATTGTGTGAAATAATTTTGTTTCCTACCATGCAACACAAATATCAACCAAAAACTGTAACAAATACAATAAAGTTTGACAATGCAATGAGAGGAAAGATCTGTTTTGATACTAGAATGACCTTTAGCAAATCTGTCATTTGACATCAGTTATTTCTGTTAGATTGGATAAAAAAAAATTTTGAAAGGAGAAAATAAGTGTATTTGCCTTTCGGTATGAGTCCTATATCCTAAGACACAAAAATTGATAAAAAAACATGTTGTATAACATTTGGATATATTAAGTCATGGTCTACTTTACTAAGTGGTGCATGTTACAGTAGTTGCGACTGATGATGCTTTCAATAAAATGTGAAAATTTATATGTAAAAGTACAATATTACTCAGAAATTAATAAATTTTTCTTTCTACAGAAGGAACAAGTGTGTGTTTTTAAATTTTACATTAATGGATTTAGATCGTGTGAGATGCTTATAACTTGAAGAAAAAGAGTACTGAATGGAAAATAATTTGTCATAAAGCAGTTTATGCAGGTTGCAAAATGTAAACAAAGTAGTATTTTGACTTCCTAGCAAAATACAAAATACAAAATCACTATAATTGTACTCTGCTAAAATGCAAAAGAAGCAAAAGATGTCTGAGCTGTGTATGACAAATGAGATACTTTTTGGAAACTGTACCAGGACACCCGTCCCTAGATTTGCCACTAAAATGCCACCCTTTTCAATGGTGGAGTATTTAGACAATTTTCCACCAATAATGCCACCAAAACGCCACCAAAACGCCACCCAAATCATGAAAATGGTGAAAAATTTGAGCAAGACTGATGTTATATAATTTTCCAGTTAATTCCACCTTTTTTACACTAAATGCCACCAATGAGTGGAAAATTGGTGGAGTATTTAGACAAACTTTCACCATAATGCCACCATTATGCCACCTTAGGGTGGCAAACTCATTTTCCACTAGATGCCATTTGTTTCCACTTATTGCCACCATAATGGTGGAAAATTGGTGGAGTATTTAGACAAATTTCCACCATTATGCCACCATTGAGTGGCAAACTTATTTTCCACCAAATGCCACTTATTTCCACCTTTTGCCACCATAAGGGTGGAAAATTGGTGGAGTATTTAGACACTTTTCCACCATTTTGCCACCAGATAGTGGCAAATTCAGTTTCCACTAAATGCCACCTATTTTCACCCTTTCAGAAATTTTCCACCTTGTGGGTGGCAATAGCTGGAAACTGCTTGAAAGTCACCCTGTACCCTAAATTGGAAACAAACAAATTTTAAAAATAATCCTTTTTAATGTTTCCATATGAAATTATATATTGTCTCAAAAAATAGCAAAACATTAGTCCATTTATTATCTTCAGTTTATCTTTCTATTCCTGAACGGTTTGAGTTCAGTCCTTTAGGTTGTCGGCAACTTTTCGAGCGCACAATCTAAAACAAAAAAAATTATGAATGATTAATACAATAATTAAAAACATAAGCTTACATTTTTATATTGACTATTGGATATTTCTATATTCAATTTGAGTGCATAGATATGATTAAAACACTTTAAAAAAACAGCCACTGCAGACGTGGAAGAATCAGATTTTTCTTATTTACTCCAAGGCAGAAAATATACGCAGAATCAAAATGATATTTTCATTCAGTTCATTAGTTACCTTCCAAGAACTTAAGTTTTGCCTTGTCTGCACAAGAAGGTCTGGCGTCAGACTCTCTGTTCCCTTTCCTCATACCAAACAATGAGCGGCTTTAATCTCTTCTATATTGAATAGCATTCTGTAGAGCTTTGCTGTACCTTTCTCTTTGAGGTTATGGCTTCAGTTCTGCCATCACTTGGTCCTAAAATATGATTAACAATATCAAAATAAGTAAAGACAGAAAATGATTATCAATATCTAATATGTAAAGACAGAAAATGAAACACTTTTATAAGACCTTGGTATATGTATACAACTCTAAAATTTTAAAATAAGAAAGAAATAAAGAAATACAACACATCAACACCAGTGCAGGTTGAGTAATTAATAATCTTCCAGTTTCAGTTCTTAACGAACCTTCATCAGGATAAATATTTGATAAAATTTTTCAAGCTAAAATGTACAAAAACTCTAAAATTTGTAAAACAAAATGTAAAATGCAAATTAAAGTGTCAATAAAGAGTTTGAATTAAAGTAGGTTTGTAAATAGTGACTAATAGCTATATTTATCAAGAACTGAAAAGTGTCTTATTGGGTACTGTAACACTTTTTTTCCTATTAATTCTAAAAATAACTTTGAATTAACAAGATACCTTGTAAAGCCACTGAAGATCAAATGTGTTGCTCCAGGCTGCTCCTCTTTGCTTTGTGTCTGCAAAATAATAATTCTTATTTAATGCTGTTTCTGTATGAACTGTCATTCTCCTAATAGCATGTTACTCTAGACTGTCTAGTTATGGTTTATATAATTATCTACTGCACCATGAAAGCTGAATTACAACAATGAAGGAATGAAACTTACTAATAAATCAGTTTACTGTTAATCTGCTCCACATGTGACACACAAGGAAAATTGTTTTTAGCATGAAAGTTGTAAGTAATAGGTACCTCAGGTTATCTATAGTTTGATTGATGTAATATTGTACATAATGATATTGTACTTACTGATTAATTTCTATAATTTTTTCTCAAACTTAAAATTTCTAACATATTGTATTTAAGAAATGATGAAGATCTTCCTACATTCTTTATATTCCTACATTCTTTATATGTACATTGTACATGCAGCTTTCTTTTTAGTTAAGTTACAAACAAAACAAATATAAAACACAATTTTATACAATACCACTTCATATTTTTACTGTCAAAAAAACTAAACAGTTTCTGCATAAATAACAATAATTATTGTATGTAAAGTTGTTTACCCTGAAACTTTGACTGGGAGTGATTCTGCTGTTTATCTTCTTGTCTACACATTCACACTTCAGTTAAAACTTCTCATTTCTATTAACCACACTAATAAGACTTTAAATGTTTTCTTTGAGAAATCAAAAATATGCACCCTTACATTTTAAACAAAATATCTCCAGAATTGCTACAATATCAATAATTTCCTTTGTGTTTGCAAGCTTTAACTGACCCTCAATTCCTTTGAATTCAAACTTTACAACGGTGTAACTGCATGGACAGTCCATTTTATAATTTTAAATTGTGAGGGATTTTTCCAAAAAACCATAAGCACCCATCATTTTATTTTTTACATTCATTTGAATGTATAACTATATCTAATACCTAAATAGATTGAGTAGAAATAAGCTTTTGAAAGATAATTTAGCATGCTATTTTAAGACAAATTCTACATAAAAAACATGTATAATGTTGCCTCTCCAAAATAATCAAATAGAACATTCTGGTCAGCATGAGTAAACTATTTAACCCCCATTCATAGATTACTAGATAAGAGGGCAGTAGTTTTTATCAGATCTGAGATGTATGCTGTGTAATGTTAAATCTTAGAGGATGCAGTATTTACTAGCTAGTATTTACTTATCCTGATTGTAAGAAATTTATCAGACATTATGACTTATTTACTTTTCACACCATTAATTTTTACAATAGATTTAAAGCCTCTGAAAGCATAGCACAAAAGATGTTAGAGACAATAATTTTAAACTCCACATATAACTAAATCTCATTTATGAGAAGTTACAATGCCAAGGAACCATTACTTTTTATTGCATGATTTGGGGTTTATTGCCATTTTTTACTTCTCTATGCTTAATTTTTGTCTTGATCATTAAGCTTAAAAAGTACTGGAGATATTAATTTGAAACTTCACAGATATAGATCTTTTTGAGTAATGTGCTGTGTTTAAGAACCATAACTCTTTGCATACTTTTGGAGTTATTGCCCTTTGCATTTTTCACTTTAATTATTGTTAGCATTACATGAAAAGTGTTAGTACTCACTAGATATCAGTTTAAAGTAATATTGAAGAGACAATTTATTATGTCAATTAGAAGAAAAGACAAAAGTCAAACTTTATTCAAGATTGACATTAAATATCATAGAAGAAGCAACAAACTTTATGCAGAGATATGCATTTTCTGGGCATAGAAGAACATTTCAACTATTTAATTAATGTACAGATTATAACTAAAGAACAAAGTACACTTTAAAAGCTGTAATTTTATTTTACAAGCATAGAATGGAACATAAACATTTTGACTTGATGTCAAATTTTACACCCCTAAAGAAAAGTATTGCCATAAGAAATGAGAAGTTAAGTACCCCATACTTTTCTAATTTTTCCTGATCATAATTATATGTGTTTAATGCCTGGAAAAGTGATTTTACGTCCAATTTCTGTGTCTCTTCCTGCTACTTTACAGCTGGAATTATCATACCGTTACTGTGAGGCAGTGACTTTGTATTAGAATTGTGTTCATGGCATTCTAGTATGTTTAAGAAATATGAGTTTCTGATAAAATTTTCTAACTGTTCAACTTCAATAAATTATATTTTTCATAAAAAGTTCACTTGATGCTTTGGTAGAGTACAAACTATAAACAGATTTATTTCAGTTTGGAGCTTTGACTTAAATAAATCTTAAACCCTGCAATGCACAATTATTAAATTTCTCAGTTTTTTCCACCAATTTTTATACAACCCAGAAAATAGTTAAGAGTTTGCCTTTTCGACTAAAAGTTATTCACAAAATTTTCTAAGTTTTTTTCCACTATTTTGCCACCCAGAAAATAGTTAGAGTTTCACTTTTCCACTAAAAGCCACTCATTTTCCACCTTCAAAATAAACTAAGTTTCATTTTTCACCAATTTCCACCCTTTTGCCACCATAAAAAAAGTCTATGTTCAAATTTCCACTCAATGCCACCTAAATGCCACCAAAGGATAGTGGCATTTGGTGGCAATTTTGCCACTACAGTGGAAAAAGAGTGGAATTTTGTCATTTTCCAGTTAATGCCACCTTTTTTACACTTAATGCCACCCTTTTCAGTGGAAATAGCTGGCAAGTAGTGGCAAATCTAGGGACGGGACACCAAAAATGAAAAGATTCTGAAAAATTTAAAATGATAGCATTTCTGAGGCTTGTTGTGCCTTTAAGATTATAAACTCTGACATAAGAGGAGCGGTGGCCTAGTGGTTAAGGTGTCTGCCTCTCAACCAAGGGATCATGGGTTCGAGCTCTAATCGTGTCATGACCATATTTCTTCAAATGACACCAGTACAAGTTGGTTGCAGGAAGCAGACCCGAAAATGATTAATATAAGTTGCAAGAACTTATTTCGCAATCGAGCCTAATTAAATATGTTTAAACAAATTTCTGACCTATATATCATATGTTTCAGGTCAAGTATGAAGGTTATGCTTCAGTGTCAGAGACTTTCAAAGTTGTAAATGGAGAAGTTACTCGACTTGATATTTTTCTAAAAAGGGAGACAAGTGAGGCTAGTAAAACAGTTTCCATATATAACATCCCTTTGATTGTACCTCTCTTATTTAGCATTATGAGAGTGTTTTGATTATTTTTTTATGCCTGTTAATTATGAGAAACAACATTTTAAGCTTCATTATTCAAAGAAAGGGCGAGTTACTGTACTTACCTTGGCATCGCCACCACCTTGGTTTTTTGCTTGTAAGTTGTTATCTCAATAGATACTGAAGGGAGGGTTAATTTTCAACAAAATCTTTTCCCCTTTTTTTAATTTTCTAATATAAAATTAAGGCCCCCATGGGTTTCCAAATTTAAACTCTTGAGTTTTATTTAAACCTTTAAACAGAGTTTCCCCTTTTTTTCATACTAAAAAGACACTGTTGAAAAAAGGCGATAAAACTAAACACCTGACCATGTGTTTTTAAAACAAAAGCTGAGCTAAACTTTTTTCAAAAAAGGGGTTTTTCCAAAACCCTTTTTTTCGGGTAAAATGCAAGTTTTTTACAAATAATCTTACATCTCTTTTTTGAAATTTTGAAATGATAAATTTAAGACAATTTAAAGAAAATTTTATTTACTCACTTTAATATTTGTTAAATTTGTTTGGTGAAATTTGCCGTTTAAATTTGATTTTAAAAATTTTTTAAATTGCTGAATTTGTTTTAATTTTTATAGTTGATAACCTTTACTGTTTATACAAAAGCTTCCATACAAGGTTTGGATACCATTGTTCCTATTTGCTTTAATCATTTATATAATTTTGTATTGATGTATTTACAATTTCATGCCAGTTTAAATGTTGTTGTTTTTTGTATTTTTATATTGAAATACTTTATATTCATACTTTATATTTTGCCAAATGTTATTCTTATTCTAGTCAGACGGTAATTTTTCTTAACTTTTTTGGTAAATTATACGCATTTAAAATTAAGAAGCAGTTTACCTTTTTTAATTTTTACATTTTTGAATTCTTACCTCACCTCAACCATGGTGCCATTTTACCGATAAATATTTTAATATTTCTTTGATTGTTGATTTAACCTTGCACAAATGCAAGTAGATATTAAGGTTGTTAGATTGTTGTTATTGTGTGAAATGACTGAAGGTGTAAATTTTATATCATAAATTGTGTACTTGTTGTATGGTGTGGTTGTTATGACAGAGTACAAAAATATCTCAGTTCATATTTACAAAGAATGGTGCAATTGTTCTAAACTAAGAAGTCAATATGTTATTATTAATCTTTTGTTCACAAGTTAACAAAAAATAGTTTCATTTAAGATGTAATTGTGTGTTTATTAGCTTGTCTGGTTTGAACAAAAAAGTAAAGTTTTTTTTCCCTTTGTGTCACCCTTTTACGTCATGAACGGGAGCCCCATAACTCAAAAAATTTTTAAAAAGTTCAATAAAAAACTAAGGGGCCTTTTTTATCACACTAAATGCAGTTTTTGGGAAAAGGGGGGAATTTCCAAAAAATTTTTTATTTTTGGGTTTTAGCTCCTTTTTAACTTAAAAAATTTTTATTGGAAAGGGTTTATTTTAACAGCTTTTAACAAAAAAGGTGATATTTTTGTAGATTTGCAATCCCAATATATATTTTTCCAAATTTTTTCATTGTGAATCTTAAATTAGGAAAAGGGACAAAAGAAAAAAGGGGAATTCATTCATTACGGGGAAAAAATTTTTGGGCCACAGCAAAAATAAAAACACCCCAAAAACTTTTGGGGTTAAAAACAAAAGTCAAAAAATGCCTGTTTTTTCGGGGAATCGTCTCCAGTGCTCTCTTATCATGCTGATACTTTTCAAATGAACAATTTCGTCTGTTTGTTAGAACCTCTCATAGACTTCTCTTTTTGGGGGGTTTCAGATTGATTGTGTAAAGCTGACTAATGTCTACGGCAAAGTGGTCAAGGTCGTTGTCCCTCACCGCTGTGCGTTCCAGTCTCGACTGGGACTGTGGATTTTTCCAGGGCGGAAGCTTTCCAGCTTACATTACGTCGGTGGGTCTATTCAGGTGCCCGTTCGTGCCTGAAATAATGCACGGAAGGTCACCACCAGTTAAGCTGGAAAGTCGCCATATGACCTTTACTGTGTTGGTGTGACATAAAATCCAAACCCCCAAAAAATTGCTAAACACATGTATAGGTTTGTCAGGCAACTTCGAAAAAAAAAATGTGTTACCAATTTCCTATTAATTTTGTGTAAGCTTTTTAGAAATAATGTCTTTATACACAATAGTGATTTTGTTTTATGTATATGTTAGTTCTAAAATTATTGTCCTTTGGCATACTGTACAATCTCTGCAGGGCAACACTTTTTGGGAGAAAATGTTTTTGTTGTTTCTAAGAGGTGTTGTAGAGAGGTCAAATATTTTGTGAAGTCATATATTGGGAATAGCTGATATTATTGTTGTTAAGACAAATTAAGAGGTATTTATTTGTTCTCCCCCAGAGGCTACTTCTTAGGGCTTTCACTATATTTGTTTGTTAACACCTGTGATGTTGTTGTGGGCACTACTAAATGGGTCAAAAATAAATGTGTGTGAATTTCACTAATGTAACCTATGTAATGTAATTAACCAGAAATAAAATGAACGTGTTTCCCTTAGGCCTAAGACAAATAAACCGTGAAAATATATTTAGTACCTCTTTGTATAAAAAGAAATATTTCTAATGATTTTATAGTATTGTAACTTGTATTTTTAACTTAAGTGTTCAGTTTGAAATTTCAAGTGAAAGGATAATTTTTACTTTAAGATAAGGGATTTTGTCTGTCATGTAATTTTATTGAAATTTTTAACGTTTTAAGTGAAAATTTCTTTTTAAATAGCTGAATTAATTTAAAAAATTTAAAAAGATTGACGTTAAGGGTTAATTAAGCACCCCAATTTGTGCAATAACTGATTAACTGTTTTTAAATTTAGAGGATTTTTTTCCGTTTTTCACAAAAGACAATGTTTTGGCGGTTTTGACCCCCCAACAGGTGAAAAATGTTAGAAAATAAAATATTTAAAAGTAAAAAATGAAGAACGGGCCCCAAATTTTTATTATAAATGAAATTTTTAGGAAATTTTTTGATGGATTTTCTAAAAATTTTCCCTGTGTTACACAATTTTGTAATCGTAATTAAAACCCAAATTTTTAAAACAAAAAGGGGAATTTATAAACTTTAAAATTAAAAAACTTTTTGGACTTCCACGTTTAAAATCATTTTTCCCCTTGCATGGCCAAACTGTCATTTTAAAACAGTGTCAAATTTTAAAAAAAACCATTTTGTTTGCAAAAATTTTGTGATAAATTTTATTATGGTGACAGTTAAAAATCTGACATAACTAAGTGCAAAAAATTTAATTTAAAACCCTAAAATATGATTGAGGATTTGCAAATTCTAAAAATGGGTTTTTACGGGGAAAAAGAAAATTTTTTTTTGTAAGTCCGGGAAACACTATATTAAATTTTTAAATTTTAATAAAAAAAAAGGAAAAGGGAAAACCCCATTAGTTTGACCCCGGGAAAACAATTGCCAAAATGGCATTTTGAAGATGAAATTATTTAAAAGGGGAACCATTGGGGGTCTGCCCAAAAATTAAACCAAAGAGTTTATTTAATTTTTTATTACATTTTTCACTTACAAAACAAAAACTAAAAAACTTTTCTTTGAGAAAAATCGAAATTATTGAAAAAAAACTTAAAAAGTCGACCAATATAAAAAAAAAAATAAATTTTTTAAACAGCCTCATTTATTAAAAATTTTGAAAGACTTTAAACCCCACACAAACATTGCTTAATATAAGGAAATGTTTCCCCTTTTTTGGGAAATTTAAAAATAAGAATCAAAATTTTTGGTACAAGTTTAAAGTTTTTTTCCCGACGAAAAAGAAAAGACAAAATTTTCATATTGATGGGTTTGTCTGCAGTCTTTTCCCCCCCAGGGCACCCAAAATATCTTTTTTAGGAAAAATTTTGGGCATTTTCCCCAAAATTTCTTCAAATTAAGGGAAATTAAAAAAATACAAAAAAATATTATTTTTTTGGGAAAACCTCAAAGATGGAAGAGAAAAACTGTATACGATTGGTAAATTATTTTTTAAAAAATTACTTCAGGGGGGGGCGTGCCAGTTAAAGTAAATTTTTTAATGTTTTTAAAATGAAATGAATTATAATAATTCTGTTTTTTATTATGTAGACATAAAAACATTTACGGAAAACCATATACTATTCTTCAGTTTTAAATAGGATTTTAAAAAACCGTTTAGCAAATGCGATTTTTTTATCAGGAAAAATTACAACATGCCCAAAATATAGCTTTAGAACTTAATCTTAATAAATACGATAAATATTAAAAATGTATACCATATAATAATTTTGCAAAAACTAATTGTTAGATATGTTCATTGAGCTTATCACTAACCAACTCGGAAAATTATATAAAGAATCAAAGTTTAAAGATTAAGAAATGAATATATTGATAAGCTTTTCAATTTTGGAAAGTAAAGCTCACATACGTTGCTTCGAGATATTTTTCTGTCGTGAATGTTTTCAGTTATTCAATAATTGAATAGCTAGTTTTTTTTTTGCCCATTTCTTTTTATCAACCTACAACTAACAGATAATAATGTTGGATGCATATGTGATGAGTTTTTGTTTCTCTAGTATACAAGAAATTGACAGTCAACGGTATCTTTTTCCTATCATTTGTAAGAAGAACTTTGTTTTCTCTAATTTAGATGGAATTTAAAAACGCTTGTTATTAATCAGATGATGATGATGATGATCATACTTTGTTGATTAAAATATATATTTAAATATCAAAAGATGTGACGTTTGCTATGTTTTGTGAATTTCTTGTTTTGCATGAAAATAAAAATCTATTCAAATAAGTTTGTATTGTGTGTTTCTCTAATTATTATCCCCTCTGAAAGCTGTAAGATATTTTATTTGCCGTGTCCCTTTTTTCCTGTTGATCTTTACGTTATACGTCACAAGTTTGGGCATTAAACTAAAACTGTGTCAGCTCTATTAGTGTTAAATCACATTGTGAAAATAGCAGTGTCCACAAATCTTTGACAACAAATCATAAACTCTTGCAACAATTTTAAGAGTG